AAATCAAACAAGTAACATATAAGTACAGAGTGTCTTCCTCTCAGTTTGGAAATGCATTTTCGATAAGTTTTCTTTGCTTAAGGGTTCAGTTGTCAGGAGTTTGACATGACAAAAGTCAAATGTGAAAAGTGCGTTGACAGAAAAACAATTTTGGAGTACCATAAAGTGGCTGTCAGCAAAATTTTGTAAATTTCTCAGAAGTTATTTCAAAATTTTTTGGGATTATTAAGTCTTCCGGAATTATAATGAGAGGTTGGAATTTATGTAATTTTGTTTATATTGAACTCTGAACTAAATACTTGTTTCTAGACACAGATCCTTCGCACTTACTTTTGTCTACGGTTAGCCTTGTTCTCAGGTTTTACACCCCATTTGATTTGAAAACATCGGAATTTGGAATTTCCTTAAATTTTTCTTTTTGTCACTGTCCCCACGATGCTAAAAGTTCAGGCGAAAGACGACTGTTAACATAAGAAAAATAAGGTATTATCTTAGACATTTTAAATAGATCTAACAAATATTTGAGCAGCTAAAGAGCATACGAATAAAAACTGAAGAAGGATGGAACAAGAAATTAGTTAAAGTTTTTCAGACTCATATTTTCCGATATACATATATGATTTAAGAGAATATATCTAAAGAGATAACAGTTATTTATTGGACTTATTTGCAGACTTTTTTCGAGCTCGTAGGGTTCAGGCTTGACTGAAACCCTGACCGCTTCAGAGGACATTGACCAAAAAGATTTTCAGAGCTATTAAATCTAAAGCCAATCAACTACTCTGACACATAAATGCCTAAAAATTTAACGACTGCCAAAAAGGCTTACTTTCAAATACTATATTTTTGGTCGAAATCGAGTGAAGAAACAAGATTTCAGCAAAAGACTAATTAGACATGATTATTATAATAGTTTTCAAAAGCTATAAACAAGCCTTGCCCAGGTAGTCATACCAGTGAATACGAGAAGATAAGTCTGAGTGTCCTAAAGTTTCTGATCAGCGCGATACTAATCCCTCAATTATTGAGATATCGCTCTAAAATTTTCTACACTCTGCAAGAAACTGCTTATTTGTCGGAACCAATATCGATATCGAGCCACTATAACATAACATATAGCTGCCATACACACTGAAGGATCAAAACCAGGTTCTTTTTTATTTTACAAGATGAAATTTGGCATGGATTATTGTCCAAGCCAGCAGTACAATCTCCGAACAAGTTGCTTAGATCGAACTACAAACTGACCGATCAAAACAAGTCAAGAGCTGCCCTGTATGTAAAATGTTTAATTTGTGCAGAATATTAGAGCATCTACGTAACCGAAGTTAACGTTTTTTATTGTTTCAAATACGTTTCGCTTAGGAGAGATTAAAATACCGATAATATGTTGATGATTGTATATATAACATTAAAGCTACGCTCAACTTAAAATGATACTATTGCATACTTCAAAATTTATCTAACATATATTTGAAATTTATTGAAAGGCAGTACTGGAGTATTCGAAGTCTATGCTACATATATGACCTTAGAGAAAAGAACGAAGTCTATGTACCTATATTTTTTTGCCATACTCTTTGTAAAACCCATTAAATCAGCGAGTTCAGCCCTTAGGGAGCATTATTTAAGAAAAAGTTCCACAAAAATACTAATTCAAGTCCAGTTCGTCTGGAATGCAGAGCCGCATAAGTTCAAAGAGTTTTAGATTATTTAAAATATGTCGGTCTATTTAGTAAAAAAAAAATTGTGACGGCACTTTAGCCGACAGCATTGTGATTGCAATTACTCAAAGTGTACAAAATCTTATGGAATTTCATATTACTAAGCTGCCACGAAATCAAGCACGTACACACATTTTGAAACTAGATAACCTTATTTAATATGCCACATGAACATTTTCTCTCGAATTTCCGCTCTTATCGTCATCATAATTAACAATATTCATTTAGCATTTAATATTAACGACCAAGCAAAAGACAACACGTGCAACACACACAAACTTCTTCAGTTAAGGTGAAATTGTCAACCCACACATATGTGCGCCACCTTCTCACCTCACACCCTGCGTAATGCATCGACTATATTGCAATCATTAGGCAAACATGAAATTTCGAAATTAGTGGTAAATTTTCGCGAAATGTTGAAATTATTTTTGGAAGCGCTTTTTGCCTACGCTCATTTACACTCTTCCGGCATTCAACTCGTATCCCTGTCTGCTGCACATCCGCCCACAAAAATAATAAATGCCTTTCGGTTTGCTTGACAAGTACAAGCGCAAATTTCCCGATAATTTTGTAGAATATTTGAGGTTGAGTAATTTAACTGTGTGTTGGTGCACTAAAAAGTTTGCAGTTCCTGCGACAACGGTTACTAAAATAACGCTGTTCTCATTAAACCGCCGTAACTATACCATTATTGAACCTTACACCACGAAATCTATAATATTTTCAATAATTAACTTCTATATCTAAAACGGTCTGGAATTTGGAGTCTGTTTTATTGATACACCAAGGCTAGTGACCCGATGAGACCTTTATTCTTAATATATTTAGGTATAACTTAACATCCGATAGATGGCTCTATATATCAGTATTTCTCCACACGCAAATTTATTTTAAATTTCCAAACTCAGTTTCGAAAGCGACGTAACCTTTCAGAAAACAGAAAATTTCCACCTACTGAAACTACTCGGCTCGGCAATCACTCGAAGGATAGGACTTTGAAGCCCACTATCAATGCGAGAAAAGGTGCATAAGTCTGAATAATGGACAGTACACCATAAAATCCAGAATCTAGCCTATCACAATTATGGAAGAAGGCATAAGTATGTACAGTACAGTTTGGTTGCGGTTCTGTAGAGCAAAGAACGCACTAACAGTCTCACTACTTAACTTTTACTTGTCATCTCTGAGTAGAGGTTTCAACAACTAATACCACAAGAAATCGAAGGAAATAGTAAGGATTTGCCTTATAGTTGAACAGAAACGCTCTCTCCAATTTTAGTCAAGATTCTAGGAAACACTATGAAATTGCAATAGATCACCAAAATTCCCGTTATTCAAGTTTTACTCATGCTTTCTATGAATGATTTCAACAACATTGAAGACTCCCGTCTGATAAGCGTCTGCCTTGTATTGGAACAGATACACTCCCTCCCTCAAGCACGAGCCATACTACTTTCATTAACTATTTAAAGGAAACTAACACAAAGATGGTTCACCGATAAGGCTCTATATATTCTGCACAGACATGAATAATTGTATCAACGGATGATATAACTCTAAGAATTATAAAGCACAAACCACAGAGCACACTTTTTGGTACTTTTGCCTTTCAGCATTTGTTCGGCTTAAGAGAATAATTACTGAATAAAGCGCTAAAACCAAAATAACAGAGAAGCCATATCAGTACTCCAACTTTGATCTTATGACTCAAGACACTTTGCATTGTCGTGACGGCTCTGCTATTTAGGGCATGTACCATATGTTTCATCTAGGCATCTAGATAACAAAAATAAAAACCAAACTTCAACGGATAGACCAACTGCAATTTCTTCAGTTATCTGTCAATGAGGAAAGTATTTCTTATTATTATATTTTATTATTATTTATATTTTCTTCTCTCGAAAGCACGGCAAAAATCATCTATGTATACATAAGAATGTTTTGATTTTTAAGTCTTAACGCTTATCGTCCGAGGAATTCAACGTGCTGCAAGCTTTAAGCTCCCTACAAATACATGTTGAAATTGTTTTAATAATATTTTAAGTTTCCTATCAGTTCCAACTTATAATATATTTTGATTTTATTTTCCGGTTTGTATCAGCTCCAACCGATAACATAGAGCATCTAAGCGAAGAAAATTTTTTTTTTTAGAGACTTAATCAAATTTGTTTTGAAATTGAAAGCACTCCGATCTTTAAGCTTTCTTCCAAAGCCTTCTTAAAAGGTTTTAGAATCATCTTAATGCCTTGTTATTTCGCCTCTTTTTGGCAACAAAGATGCTAGAAGCCAATGCTTGAATAATTTTGTCTGCTAATGATGTCTGAAAAAGAAGCTGTCGGTAAAAGTTCTTTTGTAGCTTTCGTCGTTGCTTAAAGTTACTTAGGACTTTGTTACAGTTATTTTATACGTTTGTTCGACCGCAGCCCGATTTTTAGTAGAGAAAAGTTATATAATATTATCTGAAGAACAAGGCTACAATGATAGACGTTTGTTAGAATTTCGGATTTGACCCTCGCTGTGCAGCAACTCTCTTTTTAGCAGCAGACGCTGAGATAGTTCTACAGTTTGATCATTTGAACCGTTATATGCTCGATACTAACCTTAAAACGTTTCTATTTTAGCTGTCTGGAACTTACAATATCCTATAAAATTCTTATTTTATTTTTCCTCGTCGTTTCCTTTAAATCACACGGCTTAAGCTGCCACACTATATATATTCTCCCGCAGGAAGCGTCTTAACTTTCGCTTCTGTATGTGTTTGGCTGTGTGTGCGTAATTTCGCGTGCAAATTTTCCGCTAACGCAGCGTAAATGAATTTTTTATTTGCCATTAAAATTCTAATGCACTCGACTGTTGAGTCCATACAGCCACAAAGCGCGTCAGAAAACCGTAAAATCAACTGCCCTGCGAAATGTGGCAACCACTTTTTGGCCATTTGCGAGCATTAAGTTGTGATTTTCGACTATTACCGTGGCGGTGGAGTGCTACGCGCAGATTTACTGCCACTACACACGTACTTATTTGTGTGTGTGTGTATGTGTGTGTGTTTGTGCAACACTCATTCACTTTAGTTTCGTGCGTGCGTGCAACGGCATTCTCGTACGGCACTTACTCGCGTTTTACTCAAACGACAAGCTATGTACTACAAAACTCATTTTAAGCTTTCTGCTTTCTTCTCTACTCTTCCCACTCCTATATAGCATATAAATCTTGTTCAACTACTTTATATATAATATAATACTTACATATATTTCTTATTTCATCTCTTTGCAGATTATATGCAAGCTCTGTGCAAAAATCACTTTCTGCAGCAACTTTATCGCAAAATCGACGGTGCTGTACTTTGGTCGCAGAACGAACGGAATCTAGATTGCATCATAACATTCCAAACGCATTCGATATTGCAACGTTTCATGTTGCGCTTCGATATGTTGCAACTAGATTGTAATGATCATTTGTATGTGTATGATGGAGCGCACGCTGTTGCCACACCGAAGGTAAGTGCGAGTGTCGTGAATATGTGTAAACTTCTTACATCTTTATTCAGGTGAATATTAGCATGAATATGGGCCGCTACAAATGCCTGTAGATACACTCATATATACATCTGTCTATTGGGGGCACGTGCTTGCAGCTGCTTGGTGTAAGTGAAATGAATAGCTGCTGAGGCAGACTAAGCCTGAAAGGATTTAGTTAGTGTACAGAAAAAATCGGAAAAAACGAGTAAAACTTTAACTTCGGTTGCAACAAAGCTATAACACCCTCGCCATTAGAAAAGTTTTCATACAAGAATTCATTTTGATCATTCAATTTGTATGAGATATTTATATTATATTAATACGCTCTGAACAATTTATGCGGGGATTGTACCTTAACCTTGAGTATTAATCTGTGCCAAATTTCATGAAGGTAGTTTCTAAAATACAAAAGTTTTCCCTAAAGAGACTTAATTTTGATCGTTCAATTTGTATGACAGCTATATGCTATAAAAGTCAGATCTGAACCATATGTAGGGAGATTTTACCTTTACCTTGAGTAAACATCCATTAAAAAGTTTTACATTCAAGAACTTGATTCTGATCGGTCAATTTGTCCGATCCAAACAATCTGTTTGGAGATTGTAATGTTACCTTGAGTTCTAATTCATGCAAAATTTCATGATATTAACTTTTAAATAAAAAAGTTTTCCATACAGTTACTTGATTTTGAACGTTCAGTTTGTATGGCAGTTACACGCTATGCTGATCTGATCTGAACCGTTTGTTCGGAGATGGTAGCTGTGTCTTGGACAATAATCCATTGAAAATTTCGTAAAAATATCTCCTCAAATAAAAGAACTTTTCCATTCTAGAATTTGATTTGGATCTGTCAGTTTGTATGGCAGCTACATGCTAAAGTAGTCCGATATCGGTGGTTCCAAAAAATGTGCTGTTTCAACTAAATCAACTCAGCCTTGCATAGTGATCACTTATATATGTTTCCTTCTGTGTGTTACAAACTTCGTGTCAAACTGAATATATCTTGTTTAGGGTATAAAAAATTTAAAAAAGGCTACCATTACCTTAGTAACTAAATAAAATAAAAAGAAAAGCGCGATCTAGCGAAAGAAAATTTGTTTGGATTATAAAAATTCTTCAACTGAGACAATAAGTTCAATGTAATTATAATTGCATAATTTACCTATATAGCCTTTCCTAAAACCACGTTCATAGCGCCACCTAGCGGATTATACGTCATCAAACTTAGTCGACGAAGTATTATCTCCACTTTATTTCGCAAATATCCAAATCTGTAGCTCAAGGCGTAGTAAATATAAAAGGAGAGCCGTACGGACTTCTAGATCCATCAGATTCTCATCACTATAGTTCGATCCGCCTCAGTACTTGTTTTAAAGTAAGCGTTAGCAGATCCATAACTTTTTCCACATTTCAAATACATCTCTCTTATCTAAAAGTGTTTAGCCCAGTCATAGTTATGGTAATATTTGCAAAAATATATTAGTAAAAAGTCGTCAGAATTCATAAAAGGCTATCGACATACACATTTTTTTTTAATTATTCTTGGGTGTGGTGCCGAAGTGACAATTCCTGGCCCGGATTACAACTGAGTTCATTCTGATTTCATAAAACGGATTACTGTGAGAACGAGTGCCGTTATATTTATTCCTCTGGACGATCTTTGTCTACTGCTACAATAGTCTCAAAGAGTTTAGCAAGCTTCTGCTTTCATTTACTCCCGAAGAACGATAAAGAGTATATATCAAGATAGGGTTTCAAGCTGTCAGCGCGCTAAAGACTATTTGTTCTACAATTGTGCTAAGCGCATTACCTGAGTATCAATCATATAGAACTCCATTTTTTGATATATAACCTGTAGTTCTAAACGATCTAAACCTTCTCTCGAAGGCTTAGGTATTAGTTGCCTAACTCAGCCGTCCAAAAAAGACAAAAAAGTTTCTTCTAAACTATCTCTCGAATACTATTTATAATCCGACTAAGTTATCTAGGAATAGAGCATTTTGTATTAAAACATAAATCTTTCGAACATATTTTTTAGATAGTCATAGGGAGAGTTACTACCGCTTTTTTCGCTTCGTAAGTCTGAACGAAATATTGGTCAACAAAACAAGACCGTTCTGAAAATATCGGGATCGATTTGAATGGAATAGAGACGTGTACTGGCAACATATTAAGACTCACCAAACCACCTGGGATTAATAACAACATTATCATGTGAGGAACATTCTGCGTAAACGTTTAGTTCCAAAGGCATGCGCAATGCAGTAACGGTCATAGGTATGGATTACCGTGAAAACCTAACTTAACCAAGGAATAAATTTTAAGAAATATATAATCAGTGGCTCACCCATCCTCGGATATATTCATATTTTGCGAGTAACTGTTATATATGCTGCGAAATAAATGGCAGAGTACTGGAAGATTAGGGCAAATAAGCCTCATGATTATAACAAATAAGTGTTTTGAGTGCTTTGATCAATATTTGATAGGCTTTAGTGGAGCTCAACCTTATAGAATAAAATACCTGTAGGCGAGTTTTCACTTGTTTTTATGAGAGCGAGTCTCAACTAAATCGGTGGCGATAGATAAGACATACAGATTTAGTCTATAAAATAGATCGGCTGGGCTTAAACCTTACACAATTATAGGTATTTATCGTAGAATATTCCTTCTCAATTTCTCCCAGTGCAATTTATTATCACAAAAAGCGCATCAGCACATTCGCAATGTGATAACTCACCAAAACCAAAACAAAAATAAAGGATACGGTGAAGCCAAATAACTGGAGCATAAAATATTGCACGCGTCAGAAGGCAAAAGCGCTTGTCTTTATGGTAGTAGAGATTTTGAAATCATAGGTGGTGGCACGTCCAGAGACACACAGGAGGCACGTAACCACTTACACGTACGCGGCACTCGCAACGCGTCAAACTGCGACCATGCCACAGAGCATTTGAACACAGCGGCTAATCTACATGTGAATGAAGATAACCAGTTATAAATGCAGACAGACATAAATACATAAATGCATATACATACATACATAAATGCATATGTGTGGCAAGTAGTCTTGTGTGTGTGCTATTTTTATTGAGTTGCGCTAAAAGGTCAACGCAAATGTCTGTGCCGAGAGTTTTGAAAGTCAACTTTTTTGAAGAATTTGGCCAAGTCAATAATGAAACCGCAGCGCAGGAGGCGCGAAACTAAGAGTGCAATGAACCAAACGAACAAGCAGTGACAGCGGACAGGTCAGACGTGTTTGAAGAGTAGAAGGTTTAAGGGAACATATGGTAGGTAAAGGGGTGTGTAGGTAGATTTTTTTTTATAGTAGAGCGGGCATCGAATATCGGAGTGCGGCACTTTAATCTACTAAACTTAACCTACTCCCAACATAAGACTCCCGCACGGAATCACCGGTATATATTACTCCGTGGACATCTTTTATGGAAACTTGCAACTAAATTTTCCGCATATTCCACGCGAAGCGACTTACAGGTATGTTTTTTTGATATTTTGGCTTTCATTAAAGCCCAAACATTCCCTATTGGATTGGCGTCTGGTGATTGTGTTGGCCAATTCCAAGTAACAATATTGGTTTCTTGTTTCCACTGAGTACAGAGTCAGCTCCTATGTTTCCCTTGTTATCTACAATCATGATTATTTTTGCCTTAAATTGGCTACAGTAAACCCTTTTTATACAGTTTCATCATTCTGGTGACGTTCAGGTTTTATGTAATATATCTCAAAACCACAAATCCATGAGCAGAGAAAAATCCACGAACCTGCAGGTTTTGAAGGTAAACTCTGGATTTTAGAGTATGTTATCTTCTTTATTCTGATTGCTTCTACAACTGCCTAAGCAATTTTTATCTAGTCTATAATGGCCTAGTCGTTTCTAGAAGTTTATTCTGAATAGCAAGCGAAGCCAACGAACGGAAGACATTTTCCAGGCCCTCCTATCACCAAGTGTTAACGCATACTTTCTAAGCTGTAGTCTCTGAAAACATTCGAATGACATATCCTAACCCGTATAGTAATGTATTTTATTTTCTAATACTATTTAGAGCCCCTCAAGTATTCATAGAACTCATTACTTCATCTTAAGCAATATTTGGCTGAGAGGCAACCGCTATTTCCGTCCCCGAAAGTAGCTTTAAAGCAATCAAATATACAGCCGAATACTTTTACCGGTTTGTTTTGAGTACTTTCAGAAATTTGCCGCATTCTCAAGAACTCTCTTTTCCACGTTCAAAACTATGTTTACATTATGCATAGCTTTAAATAAAATAAAAATCCATCAAAAGTGGATCACCTTTCTTACGGATTAGATGGACTATAATTTAAATTTAATAATAGCGACATTTCCAACTTCTACTTTTATCTAATATGTAGGGCAGATGGGTAATCCAACAACAACATTATTGCTACTCAAAGTTCGTTATTATTGGGTAATCATATCGTTTTAGACACTTGTTCTCATAAATGGAGGCGTTTTGCCTAGATCACAGATATTTTCGTTCAGTTTATTATATATACTCTGGACCTCAGTTACCAAGTATCTTTTTTCCGTTGGGTTAGGAATTTGCGTTAGCCCTACAACCTTCGATGAACCGCCGCGCATTTTGAAAGAATATTCATTACATTTATATTTCCCCTCGTCAGCAGCATACTTTCTTTCAATTTCAGCGCGACATTCCCCAATGTGTCAGTTATTCTTCTTGGCACGTACTATTAGCTGGAAAAAAGCGTGGACGGACTTAATTTTGTTAAGATATCTTTTACATTGACTGATGAATGCGGTATCGAAACAGCCGAAAGGACGGAGATGGATGGAGGACGGTCTACGTAGGCTAAGATTTGGCATGAACTTATTTCGACCAATTCTGGTTGCCATACTACTTCCACAGTTTTTGAGCTAACGATCTAAAATTATGCGCATCTTCTTTTATCTTCAAGAAAATGCTCATTTGTCGGAACTC